TCATCAGGGAATCCTGGTGGGGTTTAGATTATCAGGGTTTGGGATCGGGGCAAGGCATGTTCGGGGGTGGTAGGTACCCCCAAAAACACCGCAACCCTTATGTCGGAAGCCCCGACCCCCAAAAAGGTGTAGTTTCCCCAAAAGGGAGGGTTTGCGAAATCAGGGGGTACTTTACTGGGTTCCTTCTGATAAGGGAATCCCATTATTTTGGGGGTGTATATTCGGAATCCCTTATTTCGTAGACCCGCCCCATAATGTTGCACCCGCAATATTCTAGGGGGACGCTATTTTGAAAAGTTTTCCGGCTATTCAGGATCTGGACCCTTTGTTTTGGGGGTCCGCTATAATGAAAAGATTTCGGGCCGGGCCTGTTTTTTTAAATGGTTTTTGAGTCAAGTTCCCAGATCCCAAACTAAGAAGAGAGCTCATTTCTCTGCCCCCCCCCCCCCACCCCCCCCGACTGTTTGGGGTCTTTTTTTATTCAGGGTCGCGACTGTTGACCCTAAACCCTAAACCCTAGACCCTAGTTACCCCTTCTGTGCGGAAATGCCCACATTGCGCCCGGCAGCATTGCCCGCACCAAGAGCAAGACTCGTCGCAAGGAACCTCATACATGAACCCTAAACCCTAAACCCCAAACCCTAAACCTCAACCCTAAACCCTCCCTAGACCTTAACCCTAGACCCCAAGCCCTAAACCCTAGACCCCAAGCCCTAAACCCTAAACCCTGATAAGGTTTAGGGCTTGTAGCCCTTCAGGGCCCCTGTAGCGAAGAATCAAAAAGAGAGCCCTCCTGCTTTTCTTGGAGGGTTTGGGGTTTAGGGTTTAGGGTTTAGGGTTTAGGGTTTAGGGTTTAGGGTTTAGGGTTTAGGGTTTAGGAGCTTTTAAGGGAAGACCTCAGAAGGGAAAGAGGGCAGTACCGGGCATCCTACTTGTACCCTAAACCCTAAACCGTAAAAACCCTAAACCCTAAACCCTAAACCCTAAACCCTAAACCCTAAACCCTAAACCCTAAACCCTGGAGCTGCGGTTGTAAGGTTGAGAAGGGGCTTCAGGCCCTGATAGTTTAGGGTTCAGGGTATAGGGTCTAGGGACTCTGAACCCTTCAACCCCAGACTCGAAACCGCAGGCGGCGATGAACACACGCGAAGGTGGGCATGGGTTGGAGGGCTTTCTAGGGCTCTAGGTTTATGGTTGTGGTTTCGGGTTTATGCTTCGGGTTGTTTGGCTTTTCTGGCTATTGGGGGGTGCGGGGAGGGGGGGGGGGGGGGGGGGGGGGGTTGTTGACACAGGGTTGGAGTGTCTGGGGTTTTTTGGGGGTTTCTAGGCTTTAGAGTTTTGGGTTTAGGCTCTGTAGGGTTTGGAGCTTTCGGCTTGCCCAGGTTTTCAGCCCTACTGTAGCTTGAAAAACCTACAGGGTTTAGGGTTTAGGGTTTCGGGTTTAGGGTTTCGGGTTTAGGGTTTAGGGCTTCGGGCTTAGGGTTCAGGGGGCCAGGCAACGCCAGCTATCGTCGGAGTCGACAGCCTCAGGCTATCCCAAGCTAGCTGCTGCCCGGCCCTGCCTCACAACGTCAAGCCGCTGTCGAGCTTGGCCTTTTTGCCACGCTTCTTCAGCGCTGGCAAACTCAGGGTTTCAGGTTTAGGGCACCCGAAACCCTAAACCCTAAACCTAAACCCTGCACCGTAAACCCTAAACTCTTTTGTGTCCCGGCGCCCCCTCTCTAATCTTCTTCACGTAAAACGCCTTGCGTCGCCGGAGCCACCGCCACATTGGCGCCGTTGTCGTCGGTGACCGTGTATGAGTGGGCCCCGTTGACAAACCCTAAACCCTAAACCCTAAACCCTAAAACCCTAAAACCCTAAACCCTAAACCCTAAACCCTAAAACCCTAAAACCCTAAAACCCTAAAACCCTAATACTCTAAACCCGCAACCCTTGGAGTGTCGGGGTTTGGGTTTGCAAGGCTCGGGGGCTTTAAGTTTGCTCGCGGCCTCGTTCGCGCCACAGCCGTCGGTACCAGGCTCGACCGGCCGGTTCCTCATCGTGAGTGCTGGGGTGTTAAGGTGTGGGGCTTCGGGATCGAGGTTTAGGGTTTAGGGTTTCGGGTTTGGGGTTTAGGGTTTAGGGTTTCGGGTTTAGGGTTTCGGGTTTGCAGGAAGAATGCTAACAGGGTTGATCAGACCCTGAGGATATGAAAGACTTGTGCTGGGTTCAGGGCTCAGGGTTTAATCCGGCAAGGCCTCGGGCCGTAGGTGTCTGCGAAGCATCTAATCCCTCCCTCCCCTACGCCCCAGGCCTGACCCCGCCCGCACGCCCCTTAGCATGACCGAAAAGCTCTAGATTCTAGAGGTACCCTTTCAGGCATCCAAAAGGTACCCGGTTCTTGGAAAGGGCATGAAAAGGGAGCCTTACCCTAAACCCTAAACCCCGCCTAAACCCCGAAACTCAGTCCCACTTCTCCTGAAATGGTATTTCCCCATGTTGGGGTAATCTTGAAATACCCCAAACCCTAAACCCTAAACCCTAAAACCCTAAAACCCCTAAACCCTAAACCCCCCCTAACAGGATACCCGTAACTTCGGAAATCCCCAAATGCACCCGAGCTACTTGCCGCGGTGCAGCAGTGCCTTGCCAGAGAGTGGTTGCTTGACTCTTTTGGGGGGGCGTAGGGTTTAGGGTTTAGGGTTTAGGGTTTGGGGTTTGGGGTTTAGGGTTTAGGGCTACGAGGGCTGCTCACCAGTTCTCCAAGAAGGGTTGAGGGGATCATATCAAAACCTCAGCAGATGGCGCTAGAACCCCTGCAGTAGAAGATCTGGCGCCCTAAATCCTCTAATACAAGGGTCGAAACAATTCGAATAGGGTTTTGGGGGAGTTGAGATTTTTGTAAAGTTATAAAGGGGAATATCATGAGCAATCAATTATTCCCGACCCCTCCATTAAACTTTCCAACCCTCCAAACACCCCCGCAAGACCCCCTAAACCCTAGAGGCCTAAACCCGCAGTCTCCAAACTAACACAACCCTGAACCCTCAAACCCTAAACCCTAAATCCCCAAACCTCCAAACCCTACACCCTAACCTAAACCGTACACCCCTCAAGCCCCTAAACCTCCGAGCCCCTAAACCCCAGGACCCTCAGTCATGCATTGGGATGTTCCCCCTTATACTCGCAGTCCTTCATAGGTCTTCTTGTAGCCCCCCATTATAATAACTACTCAGGACTGTTCGTATAAGGGGGAACATCCCAAGCAACACATCTATGTGGAAGAGGCTGAAGCCCATACCTTTAACAAAGTGCGGTTTAGGGTTCAGGGTTCAGGGTTCTGTGTTTAGTGGTTGGGGTTTAGGGTTTAGGGTTTAGTAGATGATGTTTGCTCCGCATACGAAGGCGGCAAGTGAACACAGCAACCATATCATAACGGAGTTGGATAAGAGCAAGCGTCTCAGGAATTCGATAAACCCTAAACCCTAAACCCTAAACCCTAAACCCCTGATTGAAAGTGCACAGGTCTGGCAAGCTGGAACCCAAACCTTACGCCGCCCACAACCCCCCAAACCCTAAACCCTAAACCCTAAACCCTAAACCCTAATTCCTAAACCCCTAAACCCCTAAACCCCTAAACCCCTAAACCCCTAAACCCCTAAACCCTAAACCCCTAAACCCCTAAACCCTGCAACTTCTGAAGCTCAACTCAACTTGAAGCCTAAGACCTCAATCTCTGTTGTCCCTAATCCCTGGGCTCCAACTGCCCTTCGCCAGGATGTCTGCAATGTCAGGCACCGTTGCAGGATATGCCTAGTTTAGGGTTTAGGGTTTAGGGTTTAGGGTTTAGGGTTTAGGGTTTAGGGTTTAGGGTTTAGATAAAACCCTCCAAGGAATAGAACAATAGCCACTAGATTACCCAAAGGCTCCTATGTAGTTCCTTTTTGGGATAGTTATAAGGGATTTTGGTATACTACCCCAAAAAGGTACTACATAGGAGGCTTTGGGTAGTTTTATACTTACAATCACACTGACTGTTCATGTTCTCGAGCTGTTTCTGGTGCTTATCCCACATAGGCCGAGAACAGCTTGACTGAAGATGCGGCTCTGCTTCGCAGAGGCTCTGTGTCGAGTGTGTTGGAAGAAGGACGAAGACACCAAAGTCGGAGAAAGCATCGCTCGCAATGGCAGAAAAGCGACTTCAGCACTCCTGAAAAACCCACACCCCAGAAGCAACTCTCAAAACCTCCCGCGCCGACGCGAGGCAAGTGTCGGAGAATTCTACCACATCCGACAGCGTCCGCTGACGGCACAGCACTTTCCCAACCAGCGAAATTGATTTCGGTTTGGGATGGAAGAACTGTTTTCAGCTCAAGGAGACACTAGCTCAGCAGGCGATGGGGATGTGCTGTAGATGCAATCAAAATCCCACGACTCCCCCTTGACATGACTCGTTCAAGGGAGCGCCCACAAGGGCTGGCCACAAGCCCGGGAGTCGTCGGAGAACTCTACTGCCTGAAGGATCCATGTACCTATATAGTATATACTTGGGCCCTAAAGCTCCTACAGCTACTGTATAGGAACCCCTTTAAGGCCTAAGTATATACTATATAGGTACATGGATCCTTAGGGATGTGTCCACACAAAACGGCTAACCGCACACCACTTCTCGGACCGGCGAAATGTGTTGAGGGGTTTGCCTGGAAGAGCTGTTTCAGCTCCAATGCCCATCTGATGCAGACCTCTCTCGCCCTAAGCCCTAAAACCTAAACCCTAAACCCTGAGCCGTAAACCGCAGCAATCTTACAAACCTCTGCAAAGTGTGAGAGACAACAGATGACCGAGGCAGCAGCAAGAAGGTCTGCTTGAAGGCTCAGGGTACCCATCACCCCAATAGTAACTGCACTTGTAAGCCGCCTACACTTATGGTTGAGTTGTAAGTGCCCGTGAACCTCCAAGAAGGACATTGATACATACCCTCTGTGACGTAATGTATGGGTCGTGCAGGCACAGGCATGTTAAAAGCCACGCGGCCACACTGACACTAGCTTCTCAGCAAAAGAAGATGCTCCGTGGGTGTTCCACGACATTTTCATGGCGTCACGGAAGTAAAGAAAAGTGAGGCCTTTGTCCTCCGGTTCCTTCTGGTAGGCGAAGGCGAAGGATGCATCCAGGTTGGAGCTGGGGCCAGCGAAAATTTTGAACTGGTCGTACCTCTTCTGATCTTGGAACCATAGCAATAATTACAAGTTTAGCTGTTTCTTAGGAATTCGAGTACCCATTCTTTTGAAAAGGTATTCCCAAGAAATCCCTAAGGTACTTGCCCACGATGAACTTGACTAGGTCCGCGGCACCCTTTTTGAAGCCGGCAATGCGGTCCTCCTTGCCGCTCTCGGTGAGCTTGTCTGTGATCTTCGCGAGGAAATTCTCCGCCCAAGCCATGAACTCCTGCTTGGTCATCTGAACCTCGCGAAGTTGGAAAGCGTCCACAATGTCCATACCTGAAATTTTCGAATGTAGTTCCGTTCTGGGCTTCTTATATAGGGGGACCCTAAACCCTAAACCCTAAACCCAAAAAAGGTACTACAATCGGAGCCTTAGTTCTGGTGGGTCGACCTCTCACTTCGAGGACAGCGCCGTCGAAAATCAAAGAGTGGGGGTAGGAGTCAGAGCACATTGTGTCTCCACTGACGATGTCCTTCCAAGCCTTCGTTTTGTTGCTTGCTGTCTTGAAACCCAGTATGTTGAGTACATATAAGGCGGTTCTGTGAAGATCCATGATAGCCAAATTCTGTTAGCAGACACGCTGTTTTGACTACAACGGTCCTATCGTGATGGATGGAGTCTTGGCGGTTGGGAAAACCATTCAGCTATTTTTTTGATCTTGCCAACACACCCTAAACCCCTAAACCTAAACCCTCACGGTTATTGTTCTTGCAGGGCCTGGGGACAAGGGTTTAGGATCCTGGGGAACTGATACAAGCAAAGCAGCATACTCTGCTTTCACCGGCGGCATCTGGTCCAGGTTTGCAGAGGACTTTGGGAAGACACCAAAGCTCTGCATGAGCAGAATGCCCGCGAGCAGAATGCCGAAGAACAAGTACCCCACCATCCCCACCTTGGCTGCACTTAGCAGGGTAGCTAAAAACTCACCCTAAACCCTAAACCCTAAACCCTAAACCCTAAACCCTAAACCCTAAACCCTAAACCCTAAACCCTAAACCTACCTTATTAAGAAACCCAATATACCCAAAAAGGCTCAGGATGTAAAGTTACAGTACCCAACCATCCCCACCTGTAGAGCCAACACGAGCGCCGCCTTCAGCTCTTCCTCTCGGCTGCCCAGTCACCAAGGCTTAAAAAGGGGTGCCCTTTTTTGCTTAAAGGGGGTTTATAAGGGAACCTAAACCCCCCAAAAAGGGAATAAGGGTACTACTGGGCATCTTAGTCTTTTGCTTAAAGGGGCTTATAAGGGAACCTAACCCCCCCAAAAAAGGGAATAAGGGTACTACTGGGCATCTTAGTCCTTGGACTCGGACTGCAGGGAGCTCCGCGCGGCTTCGAGATCATCAAGCAAAGGTCGCGGCATGAAGAGAACAAAAGTTCTCCCAGCGGCCGCCGAACCCTTGAGGGAAAACTGCTGGCCGTAGCCCTAAACCCTAAACCCTAAACCCTAAACCCTAAACCCTAAACCCTAAACCCTAAACCCTAAACCCTAAACAGTTGCAAGTCAAAATCACGCTCCCTGGGGGAGATTCCTTAGACGGAGTCGCGACCTCGAGGTACCTAAACCCTAAACTCTATCTCAAAGGATCCATGTACCTATATAGTATATACTTGGGCCCTAAAGCTACTACATAGGAACCCCCCTTTTTCAGGCCTAAGTATATACTCTATGGGTACATGGATCCTTAGGGCATCTCAGTGGCTAAACTTCCTTAGTATGCCCTAAACATAAACCTCAACCCTATCAACTTAAGTCACCCTAACACAGAAGCCCCATGCTACATGAACATGCAACACTACACCCTGATATGCTTAGGGTATACCCTAAGCCCTAAACCCTAAACCCTAAACCCTAAACCGGCCTTAAGGCGAATAAGGCTTGGCCTTAAGGCTTAAGGCTTCCAGGCTGCAGGGGGAGAGGGTTACTAGGGAGGGGGGGTGACGAAAGGCCATCTACAAAACCCAAAGCCCTGAACCCCCAAACCCTAAACCCTAAACCCTAAACCCCAAAACCCCGGAAGCCGCTCACCATTCGACCCCAAGAAGCAGTTCCCTTTCTGGGGTACGTAGCTAGTTTGAGGATTAGAACCCTAAACCCTAAACCCTAAACTCGAAACCCTAAACCCTAAACCCCACACGCAACAAACACGAAGTGAAAAGTTGCTGGCCCGGGGCTTTGCTCTTTTTCGTGCTCGTGTTCTTGAATTTGGGTTTGTTTGAGGTAGGCGAGGGTTTAGGGTTTAGGGCTTAGGGCTTTGGGCTTAGGATTTAGGGTTTAGGGTTTGGGGTTCAATGGCAGCGCCGTAAGCCCTAGCCCCAAACCATTAACCCTAAACCCTGAGCCTAGCCCTAAACCCTAGAACCCTAATACCCTAAACCCTAGACCTTAGCGCAGCCCTAAACCCACAACACTGAATCCTATGTATAAGCCCGAGACACAAGACTCAATGGCAGCTTGTTTAGGGCTCAGGGTTTTGGGGTTTCGGGGTTTGGGGTTTTAGGCTTTCCTAAACCCTACACACTAAACCCTAAACCCTAAGGATTCATTGAAACCGCGCCTTCTCTGCGGCATCCGTCATGGTGGCATTCAGGAGCATCCGGGCGCCAGTCTGCCGGCCACGTGGATTCTCTAGCTCCAGAACCCTAAACCCTAAACCCTAAACCCTAAACCCTAAACCCTAAACCCTGAACCCTAAACCCTAAACACTCTGGAGTTTAGGGCTGGGGGGGGGACAGAGGGCGAAGCTCTAAACCCTGAACCCTACACCCTCTCTGTCAGAGTTTTTTCCGTCCTAGTGATCTTCCTGGGCAAGGCCCAAATCTTCGCGGGCAAGGCTCAAATATTCGTGGGGCAAGGCTCGGGGCTCCAACGGTTTAGGGTTTAGGGTTTAGGGTTTAGGGTTTAGGGTTTAGGGTTTAGGGTTTAGGGTCTAGGGTCTAGGGTTTAGGGTTCAACCCTAAAGCAGCAGTCCGAACGACATAACTTGAGGCGGGCGCTTTTTGCGGCCTAAGGTTGAAGGCCCTGGGGTATGGAGTATGGAGCCATAGGTTTATAGATTGAGAGGGTCCATTTGTAGTACTACTATGGAATTAGGTACCCAAAAACCATACTAAATAGGGTATCGGGGTACCTAATTCCATGATAGTAATACAAATGGACCCTCTGGGTTAGACATTCTTCATGTTATGGGATTCCTTGGGCGGGTGGGTGTTTTTATGGCAAAGCTCGACAACTGCTTTGACTAGCAAAAGCTAGAACATGAGATGCTGAGCCCTAAACCCTAAACCCTAAACCCTAAACCCTAAACCCTAAATCCTCTAGGGCTTAGGGCTTCGCGGTGAAGCGATAAACCTCAAGGAAGGCTTGCCAGAACCCAGCAGTGCTTCGCACATAGTCACATAGGGTTTAGGGTTTTGGGTTTAGGGTTACCTGGGGCTGGGGCTCTACGCCATTACCTACATTTAGAGTGTTACTTAGATGGTCATGCTTATTCGTCGTCTGTAACTAAAGGGTGCTTACTTCTAAAAAACAAATTATGCATCAATAGCCTCAGGAATAAGCAGCACTGTTGAAGGTACCTTGCGGAGGGCTGAACGGTTAGGGATCCGTTGTGCTACCTGACAACACTTCTGAAGGTCCCGACATCTGGGATACTAGGCCCACGAAGAAGTGTCAACAAACCTGTAGATGCCGAAGCCCCTGCCCTAAAAAAAAAAAAAAACCCTGAGCCCTAAACCCTAAACCCCAAACCCTAAGCCCCAAACCCCAAACCCCGAACCCTAAACCCGAATCCCCTAACCCCCAAGGAGGTTCATGGTACTTGTTAACCAATTCTAGCTGTACTTATAACCCACTTATCAGCCCCTTAAGTGCGCCAATATGGTGATAAGTACAGCTACAAGTACAGTTATAATTGGGGTTTAGGGTTTAGGGTTTAGGGTTTAGGGTTTAGGGTTTAGGGTTTAGGGTTTAGGGTTCAGGGTTTAGGGTTTAGAAGTATCATGAACCCCCAGGTGCCGGATCAAGGGCCTTCGCTTGTTCCCAGATGGACTCGTCCGGGTGCCTGGGTGGTTTTGGGGTTTTGGGGTTTGGGTTTAGGGTTTAAGGTTTAGGATTTAGGGTTTAGAAATTGGGTTTTGGGGCTTAGGGTTTAGGGTTTAGGGTTAAGGAAGTTGGGGTCTATAAGGTCTATAGGGCGTTCCGGGTTTAGGGTTTGGGGTCGTAGGGTTTAGGATGATGGGGTTTCGGGTTTATAGGGTTAATTGGTTTACATGGGTTATGAGTTATGAGTTATGAGGCTTCTGGAGTTATAGGGAGGCCGAAAGGACTGTTTAGGGTTTAGGGCTTAGGGTTTAGGGTTTAGGGTCAGTTCACCGAGCTGCTCCAGCAAGTGCTCGACGTTGCTGCTCGAAAGAACCGTGAAAGTCAAGTTGCCAATGTTGTCCATCATCCTGAGCGTGAGGCTAACGGCTAACCCAGTCAACCCTAAACCCTAAACCCTAAACCCTAAACCCTAAACCCTAAACCCTAAACCCTAAACCCTAAACCCTAAACCCTAAGCCCGGTTTAGGGGTGTGATGAGTCACGACCAAGTGGAAGGTCTTCGGGCTGCGCAGGCTAGGATTGTGGTTCAGGGTTTGAGGGGCTGAGGCCTTGAGGGATTTGGGGCTTGTTCAACATAAGGGATTCCTGTGTCTATACTGAACCTGGAACCCTAGCAACAGCTTTAATTTCAGGTGCTTTTTAGGAACTCTAGTACCAAAAATAAAACAATGTTTCCCAAGTATCCCTGTGAGGTAAAAGGTAGCTGTTGCTCAGGAATTATGGTACCACAATTTAGCGTTATTCCCAAGTATCTCTCAGGTGTAGGAAATCTTCTGCTGTCTTCTGGTACTGTGGAGCCGAGAGAGCTTGAGATGAACGAGTGACCTTCAACAAGCAGAAACGGTTTAGGGTTTAGGGTTTAGGGTTTAGGGTTTTTTAGGGTTTAGAGGAAATGGTGATGGCACAATTGGAGGATAAGATGGTCAGGGCAGAAATCGAAAATCAACCGAAAGGACTTCAACGGCGAGACATGCAGCAACTTGCGCTTGCAGGAACAGTCCATCAGGACCACATGAAAAGGTTGTGTCGTTGCCGTTTAGGGTTTAGGGTTTAGGGTTTAGGGTTTAGGGTTTAGGGTTTAGGGTTTAGGGTTTAGGGTTTAGGGTTTAGGGTTTAGGGTTTAGGGCTTAGGGTTTAGGGTTTAGGGTTTAGGGTTTTTGGTTTAGGGTTTAGGGTTCAGGGTTTATAGGGCTTGGTAGCCCAGTAACCACCTTATAGTGAGGGAACCCGTTTTTGTGGTTGGTTACTTTATAAGGGAACCTTGAACCAAAAAAAGGGAAAAGGGCACCACTGGGCTACCAAGACAAATATTCAGGACTGTCAAGCAACTGCAGCATTTTGAGGTGTCGGGTTTGGGGTATCTCCGGGCCTGGGGGATGGAACCATTTAGGGTTCAGGGTTCAGGGTTCAGGGTTTAGGGTTTAGGGCTTCGGAATTCAAGCCCCAATAGCGACAAACCCGCAGCCGACGGTACACTCACCCCCGACTTTTGTGCTTGCAGGTCGCGCCCTGCCCCGGCACAGTTTTGGAGTTACTGCTTTGACTTGGGTTTCGGGTTTCGGGTTTCGGGTTTCGGGTTTCGGGTTTCGGGTTTCGGGTTTCGGGTTTCGGGTTTCGGGTTTCGGGTTTCGGGTTTCGGGTTTCGGGTTTGGCGTTCGGGACTTGGGGTTTGGGGTTTCTTGGGGCCCACAGAACTGCGTACTTCTGAAACCCAGTTCCCAGGTCATAACATATGGAGTTGTCGCTGCAAACCCGACGTGTTTCCCTAAACCGCATGGACCTTGTGGGTTCAGGGCTGAGAGCTTAGAGCTTAGGATTTAGGGGCTTAGGAGCTTAGGGGTTTAGGGTTAGGGTTTAGGGTTTAGGGTTTAGGGCTTAGGGCTTAGGGCTTAGGGCTTAGGGCTTAGGGCTTAGGGCTTAGGGCTTAGGGCTTAGGGCTTAGGGCTTAGGGTTTAGGGTTTAGGGTTTAGGGTTTTGTTTAGGGTTTAGGGTTTAGGGTTTAGGGTTTAGGGTTTAGGGTTTAGGGTTTAGGGTTTAGGGTTTAGGGTTTAGGGTTTAGGGTTTAGGGCAGGGCTCTTCTTGATGGACTTGTCCTGCTCTTCCTGGACCGGAGTGTAGGGAAGGCCGATGATGATGGTAACCTCCACGACAGCAAGGCTTTATAGGGTGTAGGGTCCCTAAACCCTAAACCCTAAACCCTAAACCCTTTAGGGGTTGCAGTTGTAGGGTTAGGGCTAAACCCCAAAAATATCGACTCTCTTCATGACAGGGAAATAACGACAGCACCGCCCTTGAATGGTAGTCGGTTGGGGGATCTGGGTTTCCGGTGCAGGTCTCAACCCGGCACAACCACGTTTACTGTTCAGGGTTTAGGGTTTCGCGATTAGGGTTCAGGGTTTGGGGTTTAGGGTTTGGGGCTTAGGGCTTAGGCAAACGCGAAAACCGCGTGGGGTTCAGCCTTCGAGCCAGCACTCAGATTGGCAAAAACACGTTCCGGGTTAAGGGCTTCGTAGGGTTCACATGGTCGAGGCGTAAGGGTTTGCAGATGTAGGTTTAGCTTGTTTAGGGATGTTTAGGGTTTTTTTTGGAGGTTCTAAAGTTTGGAGGGTTTGGACGTCCACGAACAACCTCAATGCAAGCTTCAGGCTGAGAGTTCGAGACCCGCAAACCCAAGCACTCAAACCTGAACCCTGAACAAGCCCAGTCCCGGCGGTTTAGGGTTTAGGGCTTAGGGCTTAGGGCTTGAGAGTCCTTTGGCCATATCGAGCACCCCACCTGGTAGAACCAGCTGTATGCCTGGCAACAGGGAAGCAACTGTCCCAGGAACTGCGTTTGGGGAAATGCGCCCCCCCCCCCCCCCGAAATGTTGTTTATCAATATAGCCCTAAACCCTCAACCCCTAAACCCTACAGTACTCTTTTGGATCTAAGTACCTGCTATATAGGAGGCAGGCACGTCTATTGCTACGTCGCATCCTCAGAAGGACGCCCAAGCCATCAGTGTGCACTTACCAATGTGAGGAGTGTTGCCCGAGAACATCACAACCCCAACCATCGTAACCCTAAACCCTAAACCCTAAACCCTAAACCCTAAACCCTATGGGATCCTCAGACCCCGGCCTTCAAGTCCCGTATTTGTAACAGGGTTGTTAGGGGGAAGGTACCTGGGAAACCTTGGGAAGGCGGGGGGGTTGGGGTTTAGGGTTTAGGGTTTAGGGTTTAGGGTTTGGGGTTTAGGGTTTAGGGTTTAGGGATTAGGCGTCTGGCTTTTGGGATGCTTGGGGCCCAGATCCATAGCCCCCAAAAACAGGCCTCATAGATCCCCGCAGGGGGAGTTCCGCTTCTGGTCCTAGATCCCTAAACCCTAAACCCTAAACCCTAAACCCTAAACCCTAAACCCTAAACCCTAAACCCTAAACCCTAAACCCTAAACCCTAAACCCTAAACCCTAAACCCTAAACCCTATCAGTGGGCTTCGAGGAAACCTCGGGCCTCCACTGCGAATTGCCCATCGGCAAGGAAAGGCGCCAGCTGCTCGGCCCAGTTGTTGCACAGCTTGGAGAAGTTCGCGGCGGCCTTCGCTGAAATACCGGGCTCTTCTATTAGGGAGGGAAAGCCACCCAAACCTATTCCTTGTAGGGTTTAGGCCTAAACTCAAGCCAACTGCTTACTTTCCATAAGACTTCTTCATTCCGTCACGGTGGTCCTGGGCAACCAGCACAAGGCGGAGTGCTCAAGAAAAGCCCAGGGCTCAGCCCAGAGAGTGGCGCAAGTGCCCAGCAGGTCCAGGGAGGCTCAGGGGGGCCCTAGAAGGGGGCCGGGGGTTCACGGGGGGCCCAGGAACCCCAGAAAAGGCTTGTTTGCACAAGAGTTTTTGTGACCCCCTCGTCCTTGGGCACGCTGCGGCGAGGGGTCCGGGACTCCCTGGGCTGGGGTCCTGGACGTACCCCTCCCCTGAAAAGGCCGGCTTGCAGGGATTTGGGTACTTACTTTATTATAGGGGACCAGTACTGGCCCGATGAGAACGTGTTCCGGTACCGGACCCATCGTGGGCGCTACCGACCCCCATGCTGTGCGACCTCTGTCGGCTTGCGCCATCGAGGTCCAAGGGCTTAAGCGCCGCCCCCCCTACGTTGGGGGGCGGCCTAGGCCCTGAGTTTAGGGTTTAGGAAGTTTAGGGTTTAGGGTTTAGGGTTTAGGGTCTAGGGTTTAGGGTTTAGGGTTTAGGGTTTAGGGTGTACAGACACATTTGTTATTGACTTGGGATTGGAAGTGAGAGTCCTGAAGCCTGAGCCCTTTGAACCCTAAACCATCAACCAAAACAGGAGCAAGTGTGCTGAGAGGCTCCAAAAACCCTTGAAATTGTACGTAGGATCCTAGTCAGGTTGAAGGAATGCTCCTTCACTCAACAGGACGTTGGTGTCGGCATGCCCTCAACCCGAAACCGTATAAACCCCAAACCCAAAATCTCTTGAATCCTCAACCCTATACCTCCTACAGTAACTCCAGAAAGTGGGAATATGGGTTTCAAGACGATTAGAGCCCGGATTCCCTTTGGTATGCCCTTTAGGCTGTGGGGATAAGGATGTTCCAGCTTTATGGAGTTTACTGTAAACAAAGGCCTTCAAACCCCCTAAACCCCAACCCCCTGCAGGCGCAACTCTCCATGCCTTCAATAGGAGCGCAACCAACACCTTACTGGGTCTTCCTTCATAAGCCCCCAAATTAGTGTACACTTTCAGTTCTATAGGGGATAGCCCTAAACCCTAAACCCCAAACCCTAAACCCTACTACTATAGTCTCCCAAAAAGTGTATAGAGTGCTCATTCAGCTACTAAGCTTAGCAGAGGGAATTGAAGGAAAGCACCAGGTGCACTATGTAATACAATCCCATGGAAAGGGATATAGGGGATACAAGAGAGAAACCATAAAGGAATACTATTAGTAATTATTCCGACCCCTAGATTAGTTCCCTTCCCTCGTTCCTTCGTTCCCTTAGCCGTTCTAGGCTGCCCAGCTTAAAAAGGGTGCCCTTTTTTGCTTAAACGGGTGTGAAAGAGAACCTAAACCCCCCAAAAAGGGAATAAGGGTACTACTGGGCATCCTAGCCCTTATCAGAACACGTAAGAAGTCTGGGTTCACAAGGTAAGGGTTTCGCAGACTTCCAAAGCAAGGCCGGCACACAGGGCGTCAAAAGCAATACAGGGCTTAGGGCTTAGGGCTTAGGGCTTAGGGCTTAGGGCTTAGGGCTTAGGGCTTAGGGCTTAGGGCTTAGGGCTTAGGGCTTAGGGTTAGGGTTTACGGCTTGAGGCCTGCAAGAATGTGGGTTTGGGGTTTAGGCTGGCCCCGCATCGCGACCCAGGTGCATGACTCCAAAGCAAGGAGTTCGCAGACGCGATGGAATTGGGGGAGAGACTCGAGCCAGAGCGCTCTTGCGAAAATGCAGTGGATTGTGGTGAAAGGCAGGGTTTAGGGTTCGGTTTAGGGGTTAGGGTTTAGGGTTCAGGGTTTAGGGTTTAGGGTTTCGGGTGTCGGGTTTTAGGGTTTAGCTTTTTAGGGCTTAGGGCTTCGGGCTTGGGGCTTATTAAGGTTTAGGGTCCAAGGAATGAGGCGTCTTTGCTTAGCAGCTCAATGTCCCATCCTTCCATCCCCCCATGAGGGTTTAGGGTTTATAGGGCTCCTAAGGGAAGGGGGTGCATGGGGGGGGCAGGTACCTAGGGCCCTAGGAAAGCTTAGGAAGGAGCATAGTAAGGAGTTTTAGGGGAGCCTTGGGTTATATACTGCTTGAAGCCCCCTCCCTTAAGAACCCTAGGTTTATGTTGCGATTTACAGACACCAAAGCGGTTGAGACTCCTACCGCTAGGCCCTACAGGTTTCCCTTGATGTGCTCAGAATATGGTCCTGAAATTCCCTGAAAGAATCTTCAAAAAGGGACCTCAAAGCTTATGGGTCCGATGCGCAGTCCCACGATTGGAAAGCGGAGCCCTGCATTTGGGGCGCCCAAGAAGAAACCAAAAATTGGAAAGCCACCCATAGGACTACACACGTTCACCCCGAAACCCTAAACCCTAAACCCTAAACCCTAAACCCTAAACCGTAAACCCTAAACCCTAAACCCTAAACTCTAAACCCTAAACCCTAAACCCTAAACCTAAACCCTAAACCCTAAACCCTAAACCCTAAACCCTAAACCCTAAACCCTAAACCCGAAGCCGAACTGTAATTAGGTCCTCAAAGACATTGCACCACGCTCACCTTGAAAAAGCAAAAGGCGCTAAGCCCCTAAATAGCCCTAAATAGCCCTCGGAAACCCCAAAGCCTGAGATCGTAACCCAAGCCACAGAAAGACTAAAGTCAACCCTCTTCAGGTTTAGGGTTTAGGGTTTAGGGTTTAGGGTTTAGGGTTTAGGGTTTAGGGCTTACATAGGTTTAGAAACCCTCAACCGAGTCCGGGCTCGTGGCTCCACGCCCTTCAGCTCAATCTGCACCTGTGAAGTTCATCCCCATCGAGCAACCCTAGGGTTTATAGGGGTTTACAGGGGTTTACAGGGGTTTAGGGTTTAGGGTTTAGGGTTTAGGGTTTAGGGCTTAGAGTTTGCAAGGTTTAAGGTTTAGGGGCTATAAGTTTTAGGGTTTCCACCCGACTCTAGGGGTCGGAACAGTTACGAATAGCCTTGTCTTAAGGTCCCTTTGTGATTATGCGATAATAACCCCCAAAAACACCCTGTTGTAATTATTAAGGCGTTATGAGAGGGCATGACTCCCTCGACAATACAGAAGTCGCAGTTTAAAGTTACTTGGAAGTTCAAGGTAATTACCTATAGCCCCCAATTGTAACCGTACTAAGCCCCCTAAGCCCTCTTAATAGGTCGTCAGCAAGACTTATCATTGGGGTTATATAAGTACCCAGGTCACCTACAAGTAGGGTAGGGGATGGGGCTTCAGGGTTCAGGGTTCTGGGTCCTCGAGTATATGGGCGGCTAAGCCCTTAACTCTTGACTAGGCCAACTCACTCTGGCTGACGGCCTTAGGCAAATAACCCGCCAAAGCCCGCCCAAACCCTAAACTCCCAAAACCATAAACCCCAAACCCTGAACTCTGACCAAAACCACCCGAAACCCTTTCCCAACCCTAAACCCCTAAACCCTATAGCCGGGCGGCAGCCATCCCCTGCGCCGGCGCAGGAGCCGTGGCGGCCGCGGCAGCCGCGGCGGCCACCTTGCCGTGCAAGTGGGGTTTAGGGTTTAGGGTTTAGGGTTTAGGCTTTAGGGTTTAGGGTTAGGTTTTGGGGTTTGGGGTTTGGGGCTTGGGGCTTGGGGCTTGGGGTTTAGGGTTTGGGGTTTGGGGTTTGGGGTTTAGGGTTTAGGGTTTAGGGTTTGGGGTTTGGGGCTTGGGGTTTGGAGCTTAGGGTTTGGGGTTTGGGGTTTGGGGTTTAGGGATTTAGGGGTTTAGGGTTTTGGGGTTTAGGGTTTTTGCAACGCAAGGGCGGCTTCTGGTGGGGGGTGGGGTTTTAGGGGTTCAGGATTTGGGGGTTTGGGGTTTAGGGGTTTGGGGTTTAGGCTTAAGCCTTTTGCGGCTTGGGGGTTGGGTGTTTAGGGTTTCGGGTTTGAGGCACTTAAGGCTTGGGGTCTAGAGTTTGCGGATTTGGTGTTTAGTGTTCGGGGGTTGAGGGTTGCGAGGTTTTAAAAGCCTGGGCTTTAGGAACTACAGGTAGGGTTCTAGAATTTGCAGGGGTTTAGGGCTTGGGGTGTAGGGTTCAGGGTTGAGCGGTTTGAGGGTTAGGGGTGTAGGGTTTCATGTTGCGGGGTCGATTGGCTTTGTAGGGCTTACAGGGTTCGGGGTTTGGGGCTTAAGGAGTTGAGGGCTCTAGGGTCTATCGAGTCAAACATTTGGGGTCAAGGGTTTGGTGTGTAAGGTTGGGGCTTAACGGGCTGTTGTATTGTCTATGGGGTCTAGGGTTTAGGGTTTAGGGTCTATAGGGTTGCTGCAACTGCTCTTTGGGACACTGAGCTCCACTGCCAGTAGCACACTGCCAAGCTGGAACAGATGGGTTTCTCCAGCACCCGTCTGACCCTGACCCCTAAACCCTAAACCCTACACCCAAGCAATGGCACTGGCAAGCTTTAATTCGCAGACTGTGCAATGCTCACATCTCGTGCTCATCGCGCGTGCAACCTTAAAACCCTAAGCACTCCAAACCTTAAAACACAAAAACCCTGAAACCCTAAAACCTCTAAAACCCCTACAACCCCTAGAGCCCTAAAACCCTAATTCTAACCCTAAACTCTGAAACCCCAAAACCCTAAAGCCCTGCAGCCCTAAAACCCTGAAACACTGAAACCCCGAAATGCTAAACCCTAAGCCCTAAACCCCTAAGCCCTAAACCCTGAAACCCAAAATCCTAAACCTAAAAGCCTGAAACCCTACAACCTAAAACCCTGAAACCCCCAAAAACTACACTCTAAACCCTAACCCCCTAACCCTGCACAAAAAAACCTACACCCTTAACCCT